TTTTAAAAATTAGGATTTGTTTGAGCGGTTTCTTGCAGCAACTATGCTATTATTTAGAATTTTAGCCGTAAAATCTACTTCGCAATTGAACCCCTTTATGTGCATTCTTCATTTCGCTGCCCCATAGTTAGGATTAAGTATTAGGATTTCAGCAAAAAACTTCTGTTTTATTTAAAGTTAAATCTCATCCACATAAATTTGTTAGGCTGATCGATTGCTCGAGGGGTTATTTCGAATTGCCATCACGGTATGTTAAAAGCTGTTATTTAATAACGGACGACTTCAGTAAATGGGGTGCTGGTTGTTAAATCAGTGGAATAGCCCCTAAATGTTTAGTTCCACTCGGTGCCAAGAAATTGTGGACCCCAACTTCTGTAAGAGCGCAACTTTTTCATTGGAATATCATCCGATAAGCATGGAGGCCTTACGGAACAGCACTAAATGCTAATCTCACCCCTTTTATCGCTGGAAGCAGAGCACCTGTCATCACAATCGTTTTGCAGTAAAGTAATTGTTCTCTAATGGACCCAGGATGATCTGCTACGGTAATAATAAATTGCAATTAATGAGTTTTTTCATATATTGTGTTCACTAATAAATTCGCTGTACGCGTTGTGGGTGACACTTGTCTTTGGTTCTGTAAACGTCAGCGCTTAACGTGTAATGCATAGCAAAGGCTGCAGTATTCAAGTTGTCGTGTTATCCCCTTCTTGGTGGAATATATCGCGCATATAAAACACCTCGTCCGTCGATTAGTTACTGACTTTTGCATGAAGAGTTGAAACTTCAGTGATGGGTTTTGTGCTGACATCTTGTTGAGGCGTAAAATAGCCAGTCCTACTTGCCCTTGTTTGTAGTTGTATTAACTGTATTCAAAGCAAAGCAGACAACAATCATTTGGCTGCCATATGATGCATTAGAGGCAAATTTGTTACGATTCCTCGTCTTTTTGCAATTAATTTATTTAACCTGGTAGTGTCTACATGCATGTATTCCGGTAAATGAGGCGACATGATGCCAAGAGAAACTAGAAATGCTTAATGACTCCGCACCTAACTGGCTTCTAAGGATTCTGCTTAAAATGTGTAATTGTGTGATTTCGTTTTTTGTTTGTGCTTTTTAAAGCCTGTCTGCGAGTTGATGGTGAGGCAAGTAGGTGGGCTTGTCACATCCCTGCGATGCAGGTGGCGGTGGTGATGAGTGGGCGGATGCGTGAACAGATATCTGACCACTAGTCTTTTCTGGGCTTAATATTTCTGCCGGTAAGATGGTCTTGAGACTGCTAGATTAACAGGAGATTTTCTTTCACTGCTTTTAGGTTAGTAATCCTCCGACAAGCTATGGACACGCGTAATGTCCAGTACATGTCCTCTTTCCCCGAACTCAGTTCCGCTGAGGAGGCAGCTACAAATCCTTTGGGTCAAGTATCTTCTCCGTTGCCTGCGAGTTCGATGACAAGAACGGTGGAACTGGACGTGGTATTCATGAAAAGATGGACGATGCGGCAGGAGTAAAGATGTGATCCGCCCATTTAGTTTGGATTGAGCCGATTTCCCCATGGAACATTTTTATATTCGCTGTAATTTTCGTCTTCGTTTTGGGTTCTGCGCAGATATGTACCTGTGTGTACGTGTACCAAATTCTTACCATTGTACTGGACTTAATACTTGTGTAATTGCCGAAAATGGGATTCTTGCAGAAGAAATGGGGGAGAGGATTGGTGAGGTGGAGTTGAGAACTGATGTGTATGGGATGGGCATTGTCAGTCGCGATTCTGGGAATTGGCACTGGAGTGATTTTTCTTTGAATGCGTCCACTACTGGAACCAATTGCCTTCTCAACC